GAAATGTATACCCTGTTTAAGACAATTTCGAGTGAAATGTATACCCTGTTTAAGACAATTTCGAGTGAAATGTATACCCTGTTTAAGACAATTTCGAGTGAAATGTATACCCTGTTTAAGACAATTTCGAGTGAAATGTATACCCTGTTTAAGACAATTTCGAGTGAAATGTATACCCTGTTTAAGACAATTTCGAGTGAAATGTATACCCTGTTTAAGACAATTTCGAGTGAAATGTATACCCTGTTTAAGACAATTTCGAGTGAAATGTATACCCTGTTTAAGACAATTTCGAGTGAAATGTATACCCTGTTTAAGACAATTTCGAGTGAAATGTATACCCTGTTTAAGACAATTTCGAGTGAAATGTATACCCTGTTTAAGACAATTTCGAGTGAAATGTATACCCTGTTTAAGACAATTTCGAGTGAAATGTATACCCTGTTTAAGACAATTTCGAGTGAAATGTATACCCTGTTTAAGACAATTTCGAGTGAAATGTATACCCTGTTTAAGACAATTTCGAGTGAAATGTATACCCTGTTTAAGACAATTTCGAGTGAAATGTATACCCTGTTTAAGACAATTTCGAGTGAAATGTATACCCTGTTTAAGACAATTTCGAGTGAAATGTATACCCTGTTTAAGACAATTTCGAGTGAAATGTATACCCTGTTTAAGACAGCAAGGCCAACAACCATGCCCTGGCCAGCGGCACGTCCCCGTATAGCAAATATATGGGAGTAGAATGGTAGACCTACACTATATAGTACTATAGTATAGTACTGAGAAAACTGCACAGACTGTAGACACGAGTAAAATTACCTAGTGAAAACACAACCTGTATGAAATGTGAACTAGCCTGTGTACAGCGGTTTCCGTGGGATACTCATTTAATGCCGAATGTTTTAGTGTTCATTGGGATCACATTTCCCAAGAGCACCTGCCGGCCTCTTCGTTGGTCCATTGCCGAGGTCCATTGCCCCGTCGTTTCGGTCTCTTAGTTCTAATATGMCYCTGAGACGAAAGTTCTTAYTTTTAAAACYTGCTTTTAAACTGTCATAAAATTGTCATCTCACCCAACTCCCCGACAAAAGAAGAGTGAACAACTCGGTTCAGCGAGCTGTCAATCAAATCTAGATCCAAAAATCTCATTAGCAGTAAAACGAAACCGAGGTCACGTGACAATTAATGAAAATGTATTAAATGTTGTCATTGTAATAGTGAAATTCGTTTGGACTTCGTTTAAGAATTYAATTCGGTTTATACTTGCTAACTACTTGTACACGCTTGTATCGCCTATGTAAACACAATCCAAATTGTGTAGCAATCAAGAATGAAAAGCTTGTTCAACAGTATGGATTTATATTACCATGCCAGACGSCGCTAAAATCTGAAAATTTCACGCTCACTTAACTGCACTTGGTTGGTGAAGTCATTATCCTATTAATATACCAGGTAAGGATATGGTGTGCTTTGTCTCCATTAGAAATATGAATCATTATTCATACTAAGTCGACCTAGTATCCCTGTGTTTTACTGTAGATATCATATATGGTCGCACTAGGCGCCCAAAGGACAATGTTGTTAGGGTTAAAACGACTAAGTTTTATCATAACTCAAATGTACTGTTACATGATATTTTGAGGAGCGTGCTTATCGATATAAGAATTGAAGGTTTCAATAACAAATCGGAACGGATGCCTGTAAGGGCTTATCCTAAGTTTCCTTCTCTGAAGTTTTATGCATAATTTGTGAAATGATAGTGTTTTTGGATGGTTTTTTTCACTATCATGAGTTAACGATACATATTAAATCAATGTTTTTGATTTGTCAAACTTCAAAGTGAATATAAAATCTTGTTTACTAAAGGTGGAAGGTGTTTTGTAAATCATTGTCGACCCAAAGAAGGAACGTAAACAAACACTAAGACGGGTCAACTTGTAATAAGTTATCGATTTCTATAAAATTAATGGCTCTAACAGAATTGTATGATCGCCTGAAGGCTTTAGTATCGATGAGATTTTAAGTGGATCACAGACATATGATTTCGGCTTAGATGAGTCCAAAGTGTAATTATGACTTTAAAATAGCTCCCCCCCCTTTCTCCCTTCCAAAAAATAAAACATCAACTCGCTTTGTCCTTTTCTTTGCACAAATAATTATGAAAATTATGAAAGCGAAAACCGAGCCCTAAATCTAAGAGGATGAGAATTGCATCATAAACTCACTCGCTCGTTCCTCGCTCGATCGTTGTATGATACAAACAACTCGTGAATAAAATCCCGTATTTCGCACTTTCCA